CTAAATGGGGTTTTGGGGAGGTTTTTGGGGGGATTTGGGGGCTCCTAAAGGGGGTTTGGGGTGATTTTGGGGGGTCCTAAGGGGGATTTTGGGGGGTTTTGGGGGGTCCTAAGGGGGTTTGGGGAAGTTTTGGGGGGGTTTGGGGGGTCCTAAGGGGGATTTGGGGGGTCCTAAGGGGGATTTGGGTGGTCCTAAGGGGGGTTTGGGGTGGTTTGGGTTGCCCAAATGTGCATTTGGGGTGGGTTTTGGGCTGTTTTGGGGTGCCAGAACAGTTTTTTGGCTGTTTTTGGGGTTCCAAAGCAGTTTTTTGGGGTTCCCGAGACATTTTTTTGCTGTTTTTGGGGTTCCAGGGTTGTTTTGGGGGTTCCAGAGATGCTTTTGGGCTGTTTTTGGGGTTCCAGAGCAGTTTTTGGCTGTCTTTGGGGTGCCAGAGTAGTTTTTTGGGGGTTCCAGAGCAGTTTTTGGGGGTTCCAGAGCAGTTTTTGGGGGTTCCAGAGCAGTTTTTTGGCTGTTTTTGGGGTTCCAGTGATGTTTTTTGGGGTTCCAGAGCAGTTTTTTGGGGTTCCCGAGACTTTTTTGGCTGTTTTTGGGGTTCCAGGGACCTTTTTTGTCAGCTTTTGGGGTTCCAGAGCAGTTTTTTTGCTGTTTTTGGGATTCCAGAGCAGTTTTTTGGCCGTTTTTGGGGTTCCCGAGCAGTTTTTGGGGGTTCCGGAGCCGTTTTTGGGGGTTCCCGAGCAGTTTTTTGGCCACTTTTGGGGTTCCAGAGATGTTTTTGGGGTTCCCGAGCAGTTTTTGGGGTTCCAGAGCAGTTTTTGGCTGTTTTTGGGGTGCCAGAGACGATTTTTGGCTGTTTTTGGGGTGCCAGAGACGATTTTTGGCTGTTTTTGGGGTGCCAGGGACGATTTTTGGCTGTTTTTGGGGTTCCAGAGACGATTTTTGGCTGTTTTTGGGGTTCCAGGGACGATTTTTGGCTGTTTTTGGGGTTCCAGAGACGATTTTTGGCTGTTTTTGGGGTGCCAGGGACGATTTTTGGCTGTTTTTGGGGTGCCAGGGACGATTATTTCCGGATGAAGCTCCAGTGGCGCTCGCTGAGCCCGGGGCAGCTGCGGAGGAACAAAATCCTGAGGGGGTACCAGGAACAGCTGGGTGAGAGCCCAAAACGGACCCAAAACTGCCCCAAAATTGCCCCAAAACTGCCCCAAAACTGACCCAAAATTACCCCAAAACTGACCCCAAAATCACTTGAAACTGATCCAAAATTGCCCCAAAACTGACCCCAACTGACCCAAAATTACTCCAAAACTGACCCAAAATTGCCCCAAAACTGCCCCCAAAACTGACCCAAAATTGCCCCAAAACTGACCCAAAATTACCCCAAAACTGACCCAAACTGACCCAAAATTACCCC